GGAAATGGAGAAGCAGAAGATAAAGATACTAATATGGGTACTTCTCAAAGGCAAAACCAATGTAACTCAGAGCCTCAATACCTATAGGAAATGAAGAATTTAAAAATTCATGAAGTTTCAAATTATGGAGAGTGAAAGAATTATGATACTTCAGAAAGTAATAGGGGAACTGATATTTCAAGAGAAAAGTATGAGTTCAATTTTGTTCTACGTCTGAAGTAATGGTAAGGCATAAAAGTGAAAATGCTAACATTTTACTGTTTATTCATTCAGTATAAATTTACTGAAGGCCTACTATGTGCCAGATGCTGGCCCGGGGACTGAGGAAACAATGGTGGATTAAGATACCCATGGTCCCTATCCTCACAGAGCTTAAAATTTACATGGCAAGACAAATGGGTAACAAGGCATTGGGCTAAATCAAGTGAGAATTTCCAGACATCAAAAATGTTCACTTCTTAACAACTTGGGATAAAGAAAAAAAAAAAAGGCAAGAGTCAGCCCGGGACCAGCCAAAAAGGAGGGCCCTCACTGTACATTAAGAGCAAGTAAGTACAATGTGAACGTGTTAGAAAATGTGAAAAGAAAATTCTAAAAGAATCATAAAGCTTTAATAAGTTGGCAAAGGAGTGAGAACTAAGGCAATCTTGAACACTTTAACAAGCTGGAAACATGCGAAGGAAAAAATATGCTATTAATGGTGAAATAAATTGTGGTTTTAACTCTTCATCTGGGCCAATCTGGAAAGCTTTCTTTTGACCTTAGATATATTGAGGACAAACATGTACATTCTTCCTTTCAAAGCCCATTAAGAATAAAAACTGTAAATTAGGTACATCTACTCTCCAAAGAATGTGAACTCAGAAAAGGCTCTAAAAACATGGGAGAACCATATGGACCCTATGCAAATAGGAATGGAAACATACAACCAAGGATAAAGTGACTCATTAATGTTTCGAAGCTTAAAACAAATAAAACAGAAAACAGAGGTTTTCTCATTAGAAACTCACCACACGAGAGCTTTGATATATAAAGTCAAAAGTCAAAGTATAGGGGCTTCCCTGGTGGTGCAGTGGTTGAGAGTCTGCCTGCCAATACAGGGGACACGGGTTCGAGCCCTGGTCTGGGAAGATCCCACATGCCGCGGAGCAACTAGACCCATGAGCCACAACAACTGAGCCTGCGCGTCTGGAGCTTGTGCTCCGCAACAAGAGAGGCCGCGACAGTGAGAGGCCTGCGCACCGCAATGAAGAGTGGCCCCCGCTCGCCACAACTAGAGAAAGCCCTCACACAGAAACGAAGATCCAACACAGCCAAAAATGAATAAATAAATAAAATGTAAAAAAAGTCAAAGTATAATGTAAAGAAACCTTTCCAATAACTTGCACTTGCATAGTAATATGCAAATTACTAAACGATGCTATACAAACCAATGTGAAATGATTCTGTTTTAAAAAAAAACAGAGACTTTACACATAGTGCCAAATATTAGAGTTAAATGGATTAAAATGACATCAGTTGATGTTCCTGTAGCAAGCCAAGGGCATTCAGATTCCAACAGTTTTGTCAGAATATGCTCCTGAAGGAAAACTTGAGCTGTACTAATCTTCTAATTTTCAAGGAGGAATCATTCCCTGTAACTATTATTGCTTACTCTAACCTACTGGATTAATCTAAATTCTAAACAATACCATCTACCTAATCATATGAGGGTGGATTTCTCCAATTCTGCATCTAAGTACACCAATTGAGTTGTTCTGGTGGATTTATTTGGGTGCTTATAACATGTACAGTATTTCCAGAGCTTTTAAATAAGGACTATTATTTTTTCTCAAATGTCAGCTCTTTATTAACTGTTCTAACTAGGGAGAAAGGAGGGATGGGTAAATAAAATTCACAAGGACTCCAAATGCTTCTTTTTGTCATTACCATTTAATTCTTCCCCTTTAGTCATGTCCTAACAATTCCCTATTTCTGTCAAGGATACTTTGATCCTCCCACATACTCACGTTTGAAACTTGGCAAGCATCTTGACATGTTATTATTGAATCTTTTAAAAAACTTCATTCTAGGTAGAATTATTTATTTTAAATATTGTGATTTGATGGGCATGACTCCATCTATTTGATGAGAAGAGCAGAGCCAGGGTGTATGGGCAAGGGGATGAGAGGGTGAGGTATACACATTGTCTGAGTAGCTTGGGGCCTTCAAGTCAATTGCCTTGGATAAAATTCTAACTCTATCCGGGCAACTGTTCCTCTACCTTCTTCATATTCATTATCTCCTTGTGCTGTCAAACCGTGGCAACCTCTATCAATTAGAATCAATCATCAGATAAGTCGTTTCATGGAGGGGTCAGCAGAACCAAGTGAAATTGAAGAAAAGGCTTGAGGACAGGGGAGGAAATCGTATCCAAATCCTGCTATATGAATTTGCAAGTTACTGAACCTCATGGATATATCAAGCAAGTTGAGTAACCATTAAAATCAGCTACATTTTGTTACAAGAGTATCAGGTCTCCATCCTTCCCTTCTACCCTTCCTGCCCATCCCCTCCCCTCCCTTCTTTGTTTTCCTTCTTTCTTTCTTAGTAAGAGACTAAAAAAAGGAAAAGAAAGCAACCCTTAAGTGTTTGTTTTCTCAGCACTGGCACCCTGTGAACCCATTAGAAACTGAAGTTATCACAAGAAAGAAAGTTCTTTCAAGAGTCCATTTCCAAACAAAGTAAGTTATGGGTTTAGTAGTGGTTGAAATAAGGAATAGTTCAGATTCTTTGAAACAGCTCAAAATTACTTTTCAAAAAATTTAGTTTTGGCATATCTTCTACATACTTTTTCCAAGAATTTCTTCCTTCAGAACTATGGACATGTGAAAGAAAATTTAATTTTTTTCTTTCTTAGTTTAGACTTCTTAATCAAAGTCATATGAAAGGTACTTCTGAGAACTTACAAACATTTTAAAGCTCTTTCTTTTCTGTTCAATTAAGACAAATAAAAAGAAATAAAGCACTATAAAAAATAGATATAAAGCAAAAAAAGTACATGAAAATGTTTTCGATATCTTTAGTACAAGGGAAATACATATTAAAATGGTAATGAGATATGACTACACTAGAATAGCTAAAATGAAAAATGTTGATGACACAAAATGCTGGTGCAGATGTGGAGCAACCAGATACTGCTTGTGGGAATTTAAATGGAAAAATTAGGCCAAAAAAAATCAAATATACATCTTTCCTGTGACATAGCAATTCTACTTTTAGGTATTGATCTAAGAGAAATTAAAAGATATATCTACAAGAGTCTTATACAAAAATGTTTATAAAATTTATATTCAAAATAACCAAAAAACAAGACACAATTCAGGTGTCCACCGTCAAGAAAATGGATCAATAAATTCTGAAATATTCACATAATGGAATACTACTCAGGAATAAAAAAGGAATGAACTATTTATACTTGCAATGTCATGAATGAATCTCAAAAAACATGCTGAATAAATAAGATAGACACAAAAAGAGAACATACTTTATGATTCTGTTTATATGGAATTCTAGAGTGGCCAACTCTAGTACTTTCTGGAGTAATGAAAATGTTTTATGTCTTGATGGGGTGTACAGTACATGGTTACACACCTTTTTTTGTAATTGATTAAATTGTACACCTAAGATCTGTGCATTTTACTAGGTTTAAATTATTCCTCAATAACAAAGTTTTTTATGTAAAAAAGTAATGAAACAAATCTTAAACATTTAAGTCACTTTGAGTATTTAAAATTAAAAAAAAATCTTCTAAAATAAAAACTCCTTGGTTGAAGCTTGAAAATTTTGATTGTCAGATGCAAAGTTTTGAATTTTGTTTGTTTTTTTTTTGTTTTTGTTTTTTTTTTTTTTTTAATTTTTGGTTGTGTTGGGTCTTCGTTTCTGTGCGAGGGCTTTCTCTAGTTGCAGCGAGCGGGGGCCACTCTTCATCGCGGTGCACGGGCCTCTCACTTGTCGCGGCCTCTCTTGTTGCGGAGCACAGGCTCCAGACGCGCAGGCTCAGTAGCGTGGCTCACGGGCCTAGTTGCTCCGCGGCATGTGGGATCTTCCCAGACCAGGGCTCGAACCCGTGTCCCCTGCATTGGCAGGCAGATTCTCAACCACTGCACCACCAGGGAAGCCCCAAGTTTTGAATTTTGAAGCTACTGTAGTAAATACTTATGAAAAGCAAATATCATCTTATACCCAGTTTAGAATCATGGTTCAGCATTTATACAGTGCCCAGCACATAGACAATGCCAACTACATATGCTGGATGGATGAATGGCAGTAATTTAAAAATAAACTTAGGTTTTTCTTATTTTGTTCTGCCAAAGAAGATGGTAGCTTCATTTCCCACTGTGCTTTTCCTTGACCTACATTTCTCCATGTGTTCCTCCCTCCAGTTTTCTAAGTCAATGATCCCTAAGCTTAGGTGAAGTTTCTGATTCAGTAGGTCTGGAGACCTGAGAATTTCCATTTTTTATAATTTCCCAAGTGATGTTTATTGAGGCTGACGCTGCTTAGTTTAGGGACCACACTGAGAGAACTACTGTTTTAGCACTTCGTCAACTGACAGATCAAAGATCCATCGTTTTCAAACCAAAGATGAAGCTCTGCAACTTTTAACAGTCTCTACTAAGTGCTTTCAACCTCATCCTCTGATTTTTTTTTTTTACACTTATCACTGATAACCCCACTTGCTATTTGGCTTATTTTCCTTTCTAGTTTTTTCTTCAGAAAGAAAAAAATACTTGCATGTGTTTTCTATTCAGATAGGTGATAACTCCCTGAAGGGTAGGGATCCTGACTAATGTATCTTCATTCCCCTCACACCTAGATCAGGCTCTACAGCTAATAGCTGATCTGTAAATACTGATGCTCCTGCCATTTACACATTCTTCTAAAGCATGTGCAGATACTATTGAAAGCAAGTGCCAATTTTCAGATGAAAAACAAAATTTTCCATAATGGTGAACTACCTGTCATTGGGACAGTGACTTGGCAATGTCCAGTCATGGTGAGGGTTGATGAGGAAGCCCCAGGACAGGAAGACTGAGCTTGGTGTCAGAGTGCCAACCACCAGCTGGAGGGGTTTGCGAGATCGTGCTTTACCTGCGGAGGTAACAGACAGGTTAATTCTCGTTAATATTTAGTGTATTTTCTTTTTTAAAAATAATTTTTAAAATATTTATTTATTTGGCTGCACTGGGTCTTAGTTGAGGCATGCGGGATCCTTAGTTGAGGCATGCAAACTCTTAGTTGTGGCATGTGGGACCTAGTTCCCTGACCAGGGATCGAACTGGGGTCCCCTGGAGTGCAGAGTCTCAGCCACTGGACCACTAGGGAAGTCCTTTATGATTTGGGTAAAATAGACAAAGGTAATTTAGCAAGAGATGAAGAATGTGAAAGCATTAAGTTCCTTTTCTTTTTATATAGTGCACAAATATTAATAATGGTTTGCCCATGAATTTAAGCAGGAATTTAAGCAGGAATCAAATGAAATACCCTTTTGAGATTTATGTGTGTGTGTATGTGTGTATGTGTGTGTGTGTGTGTGTGTGTGTGTGTGTGTGTGTGTGTATACACATATAAACTATATACAGTCCTAGTTTTTATTTTCTTGCGAGTCAGGGATGAATATGGAGGTCTTGGCTATTATCAATGAAATAAACACACACACATATAGGCATATATATACACATATATATATATATGTATATATATACTCAATTTTCTTTTACAGACAAAATAAATTATGCTTTTTTTTCCCCTGGGACTGTGAATTAGTGTGAAATAACACCTTAGAAAAGAAAGCTTACCATGTAGGTTGCAGGTTATAGTCTTTTTTAAAAAAAACTATTTGGAAGTGTAAAATCCCTTGTGAGACCATTGTAATAGCCTTTTTTTTTTTTTTTTTACAGTGAGTATCTAAATGGAAAAGGTGCACACATTTTTAATACTGCTGGAAGAGTACGAATAATACAGGAAGCACAGTTATTCTGATAAGACTAACTGGATTGGGGCAATGCTAAGAGTGATGTTAATATACCATTCTATATTCTTTTCAAGTATGTGGTGGGGGTGCAGACATTTGCTTTTTCAAAAATATTTGAAATTGCAGGCATGGGAGGAGAGTGAAAAAGAGGAGGGAAGATTTTCAACCATGGAAACCAACACTGGCTCATAAAAGAAATCAGGGTACAATCTAATAGGATTAATTAAAAATCCAATGGGACCTAATAAAATTATGCAGCACTAATGTAAAACATATATGCTTTGTATTTCCATTAATTCTCTTTTTCATTTCATGATACTATGTATATTTGCTATAAAAAGAAATTTTATCTTCATCTACTGTAGTGTGAGCCAAACAGCAAAATGGCCTGTGACCTTTAGAAGGTGGGTAGGAGGGTACCCCTTGTATGAGCTTAGCTAAGGTTATCTGAACCAAATACCCTTGAAAATTGTGCCATGACTGTTGCTTCTGTCAGATTTAAGTTGTATAAGTTGTTATTCTAGCGGAAAAGCCCTCTGAAACAAGAATATACACAACCTAGTGGTGGAAAGTTACTTCACTGTGACATAGATGAATTTTTAAAAGATATCTTAAATAATTTTCAAAGATGGTTATTGTTTAATTACTTGCAAACATGCAACTATACTTCTCTGAAAATCTGTCCAGATCCACCTGCAACAGTACCTTATCTATGATTCAAAGGGTTCAAGTTTGGCCCCCAAGCAGGGCAGATTAGAATCTGAGATAAAGGTGGGGGACACCGGTAGTTTGAAAAAGCCCTGAGGTGATTCTGACAAGTCTTTTTCCACCCCTGAGTTGATTTTCACTCACTCACGTAACACAGCTGTCTCATTTTATAGATGAAAAACAAGGCCCAGAGTAGTTTCAAGGTTGTCCAAGGTTAAGATTCAAATCCAGGTCTCCTGAATTATAATCTACTTTTCTTTTTACTATATCACTGGCTTAGCTCACAATGTATGAAGATAATGTCACTTAGAGAAAAAAGGTACATTTTTCTTTCCCCAAGGAACCTAAGGTTTACATGACTATCAAATAATTATTTCACTAAGTTTGGATCTTACTTTAAAAATGATTAAATAATTAAAATTTATGTGGCAGAGACAAATATAAAATGAATGGAAGCTAATCCATGACTCATTACATCACTCTTAAATGCAGATTATAAAAACAAAAATTATATCTGTTGCCTGAAAGGAAAGGTGGGGTATTATATCCTGAGTGGGATGAAACAATTTCCTGTGTTGGTCATCATACTGAAAAATAATCTTTAAGGCCAGCGTCACAGAAGCCCCCAAATGAAACGAAGTTATAAAATGCTATTAAGTTGTAATCACTCTCTTGACCTTCCTTACTTCTTTTTGTATATTTGTTTTATAATCATATTAAGAAAAAGTTCAATGACTATGAAGCCAGAATCCCATAAAACCATACTCATGCTTCCTGACTTTATTGTTAAATATTCTGAAATAGAATCTTGAAATATTGATGAGAGTACATTTCTTTTCGAGTGTATGGAAAGCTGCCTGGACGACTACCATTAGTAAGTTGTAAGTACTGATTGAAATTTTCCTTGCACTTTGGGATAATATAAGAGGTCAAGGAAAAGGATCTGTATTTCTCAAAATACTTGACCATTTATTGCTTCTCTAAAAAGAAAAGGAAACCAACAGAAGGAGGGGAGGGGATAGTGACAACTGATTTCTGGTAACCAGGCATGGCTAATACACCTAGGAGACAGAATACAGAGCTGCAAAGGGCGCCTTTGCTCAGTGTATGTGAATATCTGTATGCTCCCCCAACCCTTCTCATCCCTTTAAGAAAGATCCTTTTTTCTGTGTGGCAACCAGAGTACTGTAACAGACAAATATGATTAGGAAATAATTATTTTGAGAACAGTTCATATTAGAACATGAAAAAGAAAAGAAAAGTACTATGATCAACTTTATCTAGAGTAGTAAGATGTGACATCAGATGTTAAAAGCATATTTATAGTTCTATCAGTCATTCGTAATAGCAACGGCTTCCTTATTTGATCTGAGAAGAAATTTTAGCAGTGAAATTGGGACAACATAGGATTTTTTTTGGGGGGCTGCGTTGGGTCTTCGTTGCTGTGTGCGGGCTTTCTCTAGTTGTGGCGAGTGGGGGCTACTCTTCGTTGTGCTATGCAGTGTTCTCATTGTGGTGGCTTGTCTTGTTGCAGAGCATGGGCTCTAGGCACGCGGGCTTCAGTAGCTGCGGCACATGGGCTCAGTAGTTGTGGCCCATGGGCTCTAGGATGTGTGGGCTCAGTAGTTGTGGCACACGGGCTTAGTTGCTCCGCAGCATGTGGGATCTTCCTGGACCAGGGATCGAACCCATGTCCCCTGCATTGGCGGGCAGAACGGCCCCATCAGGGAAGTCCCGGGACAACATAGGATTTTAATCTTCCTTAGTCATGCAGAAATGTTTCTACTTTTTTATACGTATGGTATCTACTTTCCTGTTTTAAGTCTCCCTAGCCCTGGGAAGATGGGTGTTGCACTGCTGTTTTATGAAAGAAGTCCTATTTTCTATGTTTGACTAAATACAAGAGATTTAGAAGGAAGAGGTGTAAATAAAATCCAAGTTCCAATCCATTTAACACACACGTAAATGAGTTACGCTTTTGAAATGTCAACAGTTTCCTTCAGCAAAGGTTAGACATCAAATTTTGCCCTAAAAAATCTGAAAGGCACAAGAGCGGGCTTTAGTTCACACATTACAAAATAGAGACAGGCCAACAAGAGTTAACTCTAAATGAGCACTTGCTCTGGGCCAGGCCTGTCCTACGTGTTGCGTATTTGTGGACTCATTTAATCCTCACGCAGACCCTACCATACGTCAGAATGGAGGCACAGAGAGGTTCAATAATTTGCCTCAATCCCTGCAGTTTGTATGTGGTGAGGCTGGAAAAGGCCCCAAGAGCCTCTCCCACCAGGCTATGCTACTCCCCAAGCAGGGTTGCATTGACGGAGGTCTGCTGGGCATGGTACATCTTCTAACCTATATTCCTGAGACATCCCCAAGCCACGTGGTCTTTGTGGGTAGAAAAGAGACGAAAAGGCATGCTTTAAAGTTAATTACAAAAAAAAAAAATCAACAAAAATACCTGAGCATGACTTCTTTTGGCTGGGAGGAGGAGCGGGCCGCACGACTATCAGATATTTAGGCTCAGCATCTGGAAACAGTAACATTATTTATCAGTAAGATTCTTTGCGAACAGAGTTCATGACAGCAAACCCATTCCTGACTCAGTGTTCCCAGCTTTAGTCAGCTTTAGTCATCGTAACCACAGCACGGGTGGGTGAGAGGGCCCAGGAATTCAGAAAGTTCAAATTTCTCGGGATAGTCCAGGCCATTAAGTTTTTAAAATGAAAATTAAATCCAGATTGTCAAAACCCCATGGACAGGAGTCAGGGAGGAGTCTTAAAAGAATTATGCTAGACACAGATTTCATGCCACATTTTCATCAGTCCTTTTCTCTGCGAAGAGACTCTTTAAAAAATCAGATCATATTTCTTTTGTTATCCTACTCCTCACAGAGGGTCAGTCTGGTGCTTCAAAGTCAGAGAAGGAAAATCATACTTGTGCAGGACACAAGAGTCTCACCTGTTGAATGATCTGAAATTGCTCACTTTCTTGGGAATCTGAATATTCATAACATCCTACCTATTTTTTTATCCTGTTTGCATTTCAGTCTGTTATCACATCCAATCAATCATTTTCATGAACAATTTTTAAACAAAATCACAATTGAAGTTGGTATAATTTTCACCTAAAATATACCAATGGAAAATAGAGAATCTCTTTTAAAAAGATTTAGGTTTTATGAGGGAAATCTGTGGGCTGGTATCTTGACAATTTTAAGGTACACAGGTGTCTGTATTCATCAAAACATTGAATAGTAATGACAAGGTCCTACTGTATAGCCCAGGGAACTATATTCAATATCCTGTGATAAACATAATGGGAAAGAATATGAACAAGAATACGTGTATGTATAACTGAGTGACTTCACTGTACAGCAGAAATTAAACACAACATTGTAAATCAAATACACTTCAATAAATTTTAGCAACCTAAAAGTATAAAAATTAAAATGTGGACAGTAAAAAAAATAAATAAAAATTAAAATATTTAGTTTTTAAATAAAATGATATTTAGACAATCAATATGTGTTAACTCAATCAGGGGCTGATAATTTATCAAAGTTTTTAAAATTGATGTTTTCAAGAGGAATGGTTGGGGCTTCCCTGGTGGCGCAGTGGTTGAGAGTCCGCCTGCCGATGCATGCAGGGGACACGGGTTTGTGCCCTGGTCCGGGAAGATCCCACATGCCGTGGAGCGGCTAGGCCCGTGAGCCATGGCCACTGAGCCTGCACGTCCAGAGCCTGTGCTCCACAACGGGAGAGGCCACAACAGTGAGAGGCCCATGTACCGCAAAAAAAAAAAAAAAAAGAGGAATGGTTGGTCTATACACAGTGTATAAATAAGCCAAATACACTCTGGGCATATAAAATAGCATTTTATAAGCAGCTCTATTGGATTAATCAATTGATTGATGGGTATTATCTACAATATTTCTTCAGTAACTCTGGATCCTGGAACTCATTCTACACCACACTTCATCCGGATGCTGTAGTCAATCGCAGTTCACTCCTACTTGCTCAGACGGAGCTCACGTCTTTGTTTTCTTTCAAATATCTCCCCTCCATGTGTTTGAAGCCCAAGGCTTTATGGGGCTGACCTCATTCTCAGCCAGAGACAACCTGGCCTTCAACCATGTTTAATGACTCAAGCCTTTGTCTTTTTCCTGGACACCTCACCAGGCCCTATTTGCTATAACCTGCTGCAGTAATTACCACTGCAAAAGATAAACCAGGTAACCTCTTGAATTGACCTCAGAGCTTTGGCTCATTGATCGTATTGGTGCCTAATAACCAAAATACAGATAAAGGAGCGTTCGCTGTGTTTCACTCTCATGTATTTGAAAGCATATCTTGCTTAGTGGAGCTTATATAAGGAAAAGCTCAACTTAAATCAAGTTCTCTAGTAACAATATAATAACCATTTCCTGATTTTATTTGGGATATAGAGCAATATAGGTATTAAGAAACTACTGTGTGTTGAGTACTTCCTATGTGCTGGATACATTATATTCATAATTTAGTTACTCCTCATGGCAATCCTACCTGACAAGAACTATTCTCATCCCAATTTGTAGATGAGGTCACTGAGGCAGGGTCAGCCTCATGGGCAGCATGTACAGTCACATGGGCCCCATGTTCAGAAGGGTCCCACGCTTAGTTTAATATCCTGCTGTCACCATCATGAAATTCTTAATACTTTTATCTTTGAATTCATGTTTTATAAGGGCTGTCCAATGGGATAATGGAGCATGAGTGTGAGCAGAGCAGATGAGAACAATAATGCATGTCTGCACTTCCTTCCATCCATGTATAGCATTCTAGGTACCCATTAGCATAGCATTCCAAAGGGCCCATGTCGTGTGGGAGTCCAGTAAGACTCAAAGGTCAAATAAGGTAAGCGTATTACATCTACCACTGAGTAAGGGTCTGTGGAAGGGAAACTGACAGCCCTGTGAGGTCACACTTCCATTTGAACCAGAACTTGCTTCAAATGCAGAAAGAAGGCAACAGCATTTTAAGAAACAAAAATAACCAAAGAATCCTATCATGTCCTTTCTTATTCATGTTCCTTTCCTGTATTAGCCAGATACTGACACTGAAAATTAGGACACAGAGGGAAAGGAAAAGCTAGAGAAACCCCTGCTTCCTTTTGTTTTCAGTTCTCCCTCACTCGTGAGTAAGTGGAAGGCAGAGGGTATTAGTAGAATGAGCAAGCATCAAAAAGTTGAGTTCTGTGCATTTCCACTAGTGTGGCAAGAATAAACTACGTATGCATGAACTACAAAATACAAATTGTGGCATTTTAGTGATTCTGCTTAGGACTTAAAGGATCTTACATTTGCATTTAAAACTAGCACTGCACAATATAAAGAAATACTAATAATTTACTCGTCATTTTTCTTTACTTAAATGACCTTAAATAGCAAATAAAAGAGCATCATGACAAGTTGAGAAACTGGAAAACACTTTATATTTTAGTACCTTTAATGACATTTTTTCCTGGTTTTTGAGCCATGGACCCTGTGTTTTTATTTTGCACTTGGCCCTGCAAATTATGTAGCTCTTAATCTTGTCCCCAAAATGCCCTTTTAATAAGTCTCTGGAACTCACTTCTAGAAAACAAAGCTAAATCCCATTTTTCTTAAATTGTTCTCATTGTGGCAGAGTAGAGTTAGCCTTTTATTTCCTTCCTTGATACACGTTAATTCAACTATACCTCAGTGGTTTTTTTTTTTAAAAAAAGGCCTGAAATACTAGAAAAATAACACACATAGAAGCTAAAGACAGTGCCATGATCTGAGACATATGGTTACATGAGCAATTTAAACGTAATTTTTGTTATGATCACAGTTGTTCTGCGTAGAGCATAGGCTGTTACAGCCAATTACAAATTGGAACAGATGTCGGGACTTGGGTGCATATGCTGGCTCTCACTCTCATTAAAAACTTCCAAATTCACGCATTTCAGTAGTCTTTATGTTCAGTTGGGAACACAGACGTGGAAAAATAGAACAACTGAAAAACAAGATTTCTATTTCTGTTCTGCACTATGAAATTCTTTGTGGATTTGTAGCAGTCTGGAAATATATACACTGTAGCCTGATCAGAAATTTTGGCAACACATGCCAAAATCAACTACTTTTTAGAGAATGTGTATTATTAAGAAATTTTAAGAAAATGTATAGAATGCAGTTACCTTGACAATTTTTCCATTCCTGACAATGTTGCAGACTAATTAAATCTAATTTGCTTCATATTTTGAATGCCCTGTGGTGGAGGATACAGACAGCTTCCTGTTTAAGGAAATCTACTATTGAAATTCTTTATAAAGTCCTAGATTTTTTGGTAACACAAATAATCTTCCCATACTCGCTCTGCTCAAAAAATCCTAATTCTCACATTTTTGTTAGGGGACATTTGCACTGCAAGCCACACTACTTCAGGATGGTGTCGTAGTGAGGTTTTTTCTCCTTTTCCTGCCATGCGAGTTTCCACAAAAGAAACAAAATAAGCCAGGATGATCCTAAAGGAAATCAGGTAAGGGACCCGAACAAACAAAATAATGTACTTTACCCCTGTCATCTTTTTAACAGTTTGGTTTCATCACAGACTAAATTTCTGGGTAAGAGCATGGACCCTGGAGCCTGCACTCAAATCCTGCTCAGCTAGTTGCTAGTACAAGGAAAAATACTTAACATCAGTGCACCTAGTTCCTCACATGCAAAATTGAAAACTCATAGTACCTGGGCTCATAGGGGTTTTAGTAATGATTATTCGCAGAAAGTGCTAATTTAATGTTAGCAATCATAATGATGATTTCTTAAAAGCAAAATTTTGTGTCCTAAGAGCCCTGAGGACATATTTTAAAAGGAAAATGTTCAAAACCGTTTTTGTTTTGTTTTTTTAAAGAAGATGTTGGTGGTAGGAGTTTATTAATTAATTAATTACTTTTGCTGTGTGCGTCTTCGTTTCTGTGGGAGGGCTTTCTCTAGTTGTGGCAAGCGGGGGCCACTCTTCATCGCAGTGCGCGGGCCTCTCACTATGGTGGCCTCTCTTGTTGCGGAGCACAGGCTCCAGATGCGCAGGCTCAGTAGTTGTGGCTCACGGGCCCAGTTGCTCCTCAGCATGTGGGATCCTCCCAGACCAAGGCTCGAACCCGTGTGCCCTGCATTAGCAGGCAGACTCTCAACCACCACGCCACCAGGGAAGCCCAAAACCGTTTTTTTTTTTTAAGCAAGCAAATATTTCAAATTGCAAAAAATTCACTAAAAAAGAAAATTACACCCCACCCTGACAAAGATTCTCTCTCTTGACCAAACTCTCATCAGGCTCTTCTGAGCTCTTGCTCAACTAGGCTCTGACATTTGGGCTTCTGTGTTCATTTCTGCATTGTCCAATTAGAGCAGGAATCCTGAGACAGTTGAGCCAGAATCCGCCATCTTCCATACTTGATTACACTTGGTATCCAATCAAGTTCCTCATCACCCTCCATCTCACAGATGATATCTGATCACCCTGGCCTATCTTC